GGCACGACTTTTTTCTCTCCATTCTGAGAACAGGTGTTTAGTCCAATCCAGCAGAGCCAGTTGGAGGGCTGGCCCTTGGTCTCAATGGGGCTCTGCTCCTCATGAAAGACCTTGCTCTTCTTCCCGTCCTCGGTCTTGGGGGAGCAAGATGTCAGTCCAAGCCTGCAGAGCCAGTTGGAGGGCTGACTCTTGGACTCAAACAGGCTCTGCTCCTCGGGAAGGACCTGGTCTTTCTTGTTGTCCTCGATCTTGCTGGAGCAGGATGTTAGTCCAAACCAGCAGAGCCAGTTGGAGGGCTGGCTCTTGGACTGAACAAGACGCTGCTCCTCATGAAGGACCTGTGCTGTTTTTCCATCCTCTGTGTTGGTGGAGCAGGATGTTAGTCCAAGCCTGCAGAGCCAGTTGGAGGGCTGGCTCTTGGACTCAAACAGGCTCTGCTCCTCGGGAAGGACCTGGTCTTTCTTCCCGTCCGCAATCTTGGTGGGGCAGGTGGTTAGGCCGAACCAGCAGAGCCAGTTGGAGGGCTGGCTCTTGGACTCAGTCGGACGCTGCTCCTCATGAAGGACCTGGTGTTTCTTCTGGTCCTCCATCTTTGTGGGGCAGGTGGTTAGGCCGAACCAGCAGAGCCAGTTGGAGGGCCGGGCCTTGCTCTCAACCGGGCTCTGCTTCTCGCGAAGGACCTGCCTTTTGTTCCCGTCCTCCATCTGGTTGGAGCAGATGTTTCGGCAAAACCAGCAGAGCCAGTTGGAGGGCTGGCTCTTGGTGTCAGTTGGTCCGTGCTCCTGGTGAAGGACGTTCCTTTGGTTGCCATCCCCGATCTTGGTGGGGCAGGTGGTTAGACCAAGCCAGGAGCGCCAGCTGGAGGGCTGGCACTCGGTCTCTAAGGGATGCTGCTCCTCGGGATGGAGCAGCTTTTTGTCCCAGTTCCCGACCCAGCTGAGGCAGCTGGACGTGTCAGGAATTGGAGACAGGAAAGCAAGTAAGATGAGGAAGAGAGTCAGGCTGAGCTTCATCCTGCTCTCTCCCAAGGACCGCTCTCAACACACAAGTGGCTGTCACCCAGAGCAGAGCTCCAGCAGTGACCACCAGGACGGAGCGAGTGCTCCAAGTGTCTGAGTTGGGGGAGGCCGCCAGCGTGCCTTGATAAAGACTGATGTCATGCCCCGCCTGTGATGTCACAATGCCTTTCCCCGGTGCGACATGGCCACACCCAGCTCGGGGCTGGGGACCCTACACCCAAATCCCACCTCCCTGTTCCACCTCCCCTTTTTGCAATCCGTCTGCACTCCGTAATTTTCATGAGCGCACGAGGCCACAGAATCACATAATCGCAGATTTGTAGGGGTTGGAAGGGATCTCTAGAGATCATTGAGACCAACCCCCCTCCCAAAACAGGTTCCGTACACCAGTTTGCACAGGTAGACGTCCAGGGAAGACTTGAACATCTCCAGAGAAGGAGACTCCACACCCCCCTGGGCAGCCTGTTCCAGTGCTCCGTCACCCTCACAGTAAAGAATTTCTTGCGCACATTCGTGTGAAACTTCCTATGCTGCAGCTAATGTCTGTTTCCCCTTGTCCTGTCTCCACGTACCACTGAAAAGAGACTGGCCTCACCACTATGGCTGCCACACCTCAGATATTTATTACTCTGGATCAGGTCCCCTCTTAGCCATCTTTTCTCAAGGCTAAACAGACCCAATTCACTCAGCCTTTCTTCATAGGGGAGATGCTCCAGGCCCTTCACCATCTTTGTGGCCCTCCGCTGGTCTCTTTCCAAGAGATCCCTGTCTTTTTTGCACTGGGGAGCCCAGAACTGGACACAGTACTCCGGATGAGGCCTTCCCAGGGCAGAGTAGAGGGGGAGGATCACCTCCCTCGACCTGCTGGCCAAGCTCTTTTTAATGCATCCCAGGATGCCATTGGCCCTCTTGGCCACAAGGGCACACTGCAGGCTCATGGCCAACCTGTTGTCCACCTGGACACCCAGGTCCCTCTCCGCAGAGCTCCTCTCCAGCAGCTCATCCCCCAGCCTGTAGTGGTGCATGCAATTATTCTTCCCTAGCTGTAAGACTCTACACTTGCTTTTGTTGAACCTCATCCAGTTTCTTACTGCCCAGCTCTCCAGCCTATCCAGGTCTCGCTGAATGGCAGCACAGCCTTCAGGCGTGTCAGCCAATCCTCCCAACTTTGTATCATCAGCAAACTTACTGAGGGTGGCCACTATCCCCTCATCAAAGTCATTGATGGAAGATGTTGAACAAGACCAGACCCAGCACAGACCCCTGGGGGACACCACTGGTTACAGGTCTCCAGCCAGACTCTGCATCGCCAACGACGACCCTCTGCGCTCTGCCAGTCAGCCAATTCTCAACCCACCTCACTGTCCACTTGTCTATCCCACACTGCCTAAGCTTTGTTATAAGGATGTCGTGGGAGACAGTATCAAATGCCTTTCTAAAATCAAGGTACACTACATCTACCGCTCTTCCCCCATCCACCCAGTATGTGACTGCATCGTAGAAGGCCACCGGGTTGGTCGAGCATGACCTCCCCTTGCTGAACCCATGGTGAACCCATGCAGGTCACAGAATCACCGAATCATAGAGCGGCCTGGGTTGAGAAGGTCCACAGTGATCCCCTAGTTTCAATCCACCGGGCAGCCCAGAGCCACATCCACCCTGGCCTTGAATGCCTGCAGGCATGGGGCATCCACGGCCTCCTTGGGCAACGGGTTCCAGTCTGTGTGAAAAACTTCCTCCTACTATCTAACCTAAACCTCTCCTGTCTTAGTTTGAAACCATTTCCCCTTGTCCTATCAGTGTTCACACTCGTAAACAGACGTAAGCAGAGGTCCGGTGCTCCTCTCCCATCCTTTTGAGCCCTTCACTCCAACAGCAATGAATATTGGATTAATTTCCTTTATTTATACGTCGGAAAGAAAATAAAAGAATAGATGATAGTACAGACCGAGAGATTTGAACGTTTGCTTTGACACCTCCCGCAGCAGTGTCCGTATTTGCCTTCTCCTCCTTGGCAGCACAGTGTTCTCCCTGATGCAGAATCACAGAATTGTAGGGGCTGGAAGGGACCTCTGGAGACGATCGAGTCCAACCTTTTTGCCAAAGCAAGCTCGGTAGGCCAGGTTGCACAGGTTGGCGTCCAGGCAGGTCTTGGGCATCTCCAGACAGGGAGACTCCACAGCCTCCTTTGGCAGGAGTTGCAGTGCCCTCTCACCCTCGCCGTGAAGACGTTCTTCTGCACGTTTGTGCAGAACTTCCTACTTTGGCCATTGTCCCATCAGCACGCACGGCTGCAAAGAACTTGGCCTTGTATTTTGGCCGCCGTCAATCATCCCGTAGGTACAGACATTGATCAGGTCCCCTCCGAGTCTTCTTTTCTCAAGGCTGAACATACCCAGGTGGCTCAGCCTTTCCTCGTGAGAGAGGTGCTCCAGGCCCTTGATCATCTTCATGGCCCTCCGCTGGACTCTTTCCAGGAGATCGCGGCCTTTTCTTGTACCGGGGAGCCCAGAACCGGACGCCATAGTCCTGGTGAGGCCTGACCAGGGCAGAGTGGAGGGAGACGATCACCTCCCTTGACCTGCTGGCCACGCTCCTTGTAATGCCCTGTAGGATCCCAGTGGCCTTCTTGGCCACCAGGGCACCCTGCTGGCTCATGGCCAGCCTGTTGTCCACCTGGAGCCCCAGGTTCCTCACCGCAGAGCTCCTCTCCAGCAGGTCGGGTCCCAGCCTGTACTGATACTTGCGGCTGTTCCTTCCGAGGTGCAAGACTCTGCGCTTGCTTTTGGCAAACCTCATCTGTTTTCTTAATCTTGCATCCCGCTGGCATTCTCAGAAAATTAGCGTACTCAGAAAATCGTTGTTTTCTCCCTTAGCTCGTTGCCGTTGTTTTGTTGTCAGGCCCATCTCCCTACCTTTTCCCCACCTCTCTTGCCCCTTTCCTGGTTCGTGGCTTCGCTTGTCCCTCCACCCCATTAGTCACAGCACCGGGCTGGAGCCGTGACAGCGCGCCAGTGCCCCAAAGTCCCGTTTGACAGCCCGCAGGCTTCTCTCAGCGCCTTCATGGCTGCCGGCCTGAGCTACCAGTCAGCTGTAATAAGCAGAGGGACGAAACGGACCAGGGAGTCTGAGCCGCCGTGCCGCAGGGCCTCCCTCCCTTCCCCAGCAGATCTTGCTGTGGTGCTTTGCCGCCGTTTTCCCTTTCTGGGAAGGCTCCCTTGGTGCGAGCCTCCTCTGGGAAGGTGATGCGCACGGGATCCTGGCAGAACTGGCCCAGCTGAGGATTCCCAGTGTGCTCTGGATGCTTCCCAGCGTGCTGGAGACTCACGGGCCCTCCCCGTGCACTCTGGGGGACGCTGCATGACCCCACTGGGACGTAGGTTCCCGCTCAACATGTGCTCTCTCCCCTGGGGCATGGCTGTCTCTGGACGCTTCACAGCCACCGATGCCTCTTTTATCCCTGGCCCACCGCCCTTCCTCCTGCCTAGGAACATGCCCCCAGTCCCCGAACAGCAGCGCTGTCCTGCACCAATGCCTTTAGTGCTGCCACTGTCCCGGACGCACTGCCACCACAATGACACCGGCTGTGGAAATGATGGTGTTATTTATTTCATGACTGATGGAAAATGGAGGTGATGATCTGGGGGAGGTTGGTGTCCCCCCAGTGGAAGATGTTGTTGTCATCGCAGGTGCCTTCAGCGCCACCTTCGGTCACCATTTGACCCACAGGCTGCCAGATGGAGAGAAGCGCCTTGTGGAAATCACTCTGTTTGCGTTCTGAAGCTGAGGCCGTTTGTTCCGTTCCCTGGAAATGACAGGGCATGAGCGCAGAGAAAGGGATGCAGGCTCGTTTTGCAGAGCATCGCCCTGCAGGGCTCTGATTCTTGCGCCGCTTTTCCAGCGTCCCAGGACAGCTCGGGGCAGCCCGTGGGGCTCACGGCACCTCCGGCAGGCCCCGTTTTGCATGGGAGTCCCGGCCGGCTGTCAGCCCTAGGGCCGGGCAAGTCTCTGGGGAGAGCTGCTGGACCTCTGGAGGTCTGCTTTGCTTGGAAGCCCTCACAGACCAGACCTTTGCGGTTCCCCGCTCCCCACCCTCAGTCCCTTCTGTGCAGTATGAATCCCGAGCGCTTACCTGTGCCTGATGTCTTCACATATCTCTCCAGAGCTGGTAGGCAACCCACAGCAGCCGGAACAGATAGCAGTTTCCCCATAAATCGAGCATGACGCAGATTATCAGGAATGGCGTTATTAAGTCCTTGTAGTTGTTGAGGATGTCAGGCACGCTGAAGGCGTCTTGCTCGGTGTGCGGGGACTGCTGCTCGGGGCCCTCTGGATCAACAGACTCGCTGGCCCTGTTCGGGACCCATCTGGGGTGTGGAGAAAGGCCAATCCAGAAGGGCCAGTGGGAGGCACGGCGCTCAGCATTAACGGGCAGGCTCTTCTCAGGAGGCACGACTTTTTTCTCTCCATTCTGAGGACAGGTGTTTAGTCCAATCCAGCAGAGCCAGTTGGAGGGTTGGCGCTTGGTCTCAATGGGGCTCTGCTCCTCATGAAAGACCTTGCTCTTCTTCCCGTCCTCAGTCTTGGGGGAGCAAGATGTCAGTCCAAGCCTGCAGAGCCAGTTGGAGGGCTGGCTCTTGGACTCAAACAGGCTCTGCTCCTCATGAAAGACCTTGCTCTTCTTCCCGTCCTCGGTCTTGGGGGAGCAAGATGTCAGTCCAAGCCTGCAGAGCCAGCTGGAGGGCTGGCTCTTGGACTCAAACAGGCTCTGCTCCTCGGGAAGGACCTGGTCTTTCTTGTTGTCCTCGATCTTGCTGGAGCAGGATGTTAGTCCAAACCAGCAGAGCCAGTTGGAGGGCTGGCTCTTGGACTGAACAAGATGCTGCTCCTCATGAAGGACCTGTGCTGTTTTTCCATCCTCTGTGTTGGTGGAGCAGGATGTTAGTCCAAGCCTGCAGAGCCAGTTGGAGGGCTGGCTCTTGGACTCAAACAGGCTCTGCTCCTCGGGAAGAACCTGGTCTTTCTTCCCGTCCGCAATCTTGGTGGGGCAGGTGGTTAGGCCGAACCAGCAGAGCCAGTTGGAGGGCTGGCTCTTGGACTCAGTCGGACGCTGCTCCTCATGAAGGACCTGGTGTTTCTTCTGGTCCTCCATCTTTGTGGGGCAGGTGGTTAGGCCGAACCAGCAGAGCCAGTTGGAGGGCCGGGCCTTGCTCTCAACCGGGCTCTGCTTCTCGCGAAGGACCTGCCTTTTGTTCCCGTCCTCCATCTGGTTGGAGCAGATGTTTCGGCAAAACCAGCAGAGCCAGTTGGAGGGCTGGCTCTTGGTGTCAGTTGGTCCGTGCTCCTGGTGAAGGACGTTCCTTTGGTTGCCATCCCCGATCTTGGTGGGGCAGGTGGTTAGACCAAGCCAGGAGAGCCAGCTGGAGGGCTGGCACTCGGTCTCTAAGGGATGCTGCTCCTCGGGATGGAGCAGCTTTTTGTCCCAGTTCCCGACCCAGCTGAGGCAGCTGGACGTGTCAGGAATTGGAGACAGGAAAGCAAGTAAGATGAGGAAGAGAGTCAGGCTGAGCTTCATCCTGCTCTCTCCCAAGGACCGCTCTCAACACACAAGTGGCTGTCACCCAGAGCAGAGCTCCAGCAGTGACCACCAGGACGGAGCGAGTGCTCCAAGTGTCTGAGCTGGGGGAGGCCGCCAGCGTGCCTTGATAAAGACTGATGTCATGCCCCGCCTGTGATGTCACAATGCCTTTCCCCGGTGCGGCATGGCCACACCCAGCTCGGGGCTGGGGACCCTACACCCAAATCCCACCTCCCTGTTCCACCTCCCCTTTTTGCAATCCGTCTGCACTCTGTAATTTTCATGAGCGCACGAGGTCATAGAATCACTGAGTCATAGAGCGGCCTGGGTTGAGAAGGCCCACAGTGATCCCCTAGTTTCAATCCACCGGGCAGCCCAGAGCCACATCCCGCCTGGCCTTGAATGCCTGCAGGCATGGGGCATCCACGGCCTCCTTGGGCAACGGGTTCCAGTCTGTGTGAAAAACTTCCTCCTACTATCTAACCTAAACCTCTCCTGTCTTAGTTTGAAACCATTTCCCCTTGTCCTATCACTGTCCACCCTCGTAAACAGACGTAAGCAGAGGTCCGGTGCTCCTCTCCCATCCTTTTGAGCCCTTCACTCCAACAGCAATGAATATTGGATTAATTTCCTTTATTTATACGTCGGAAAGAAAATAAAAGAATAGATGATAGTACAGACCGAGAGATTTGAACGTTTGCTTTGACACCTCCCGCAGCAGTGTCCGTATTTGCCTTCTCCTCCTTGGCAGCACAGTGTTCTCCCTGATGCAGAATCACAGAATTGTAGGGGCTGGAAGGGACCTCTCAAGATGATCATAGAATCACAAGGTGTGAAATGACCTTTAAGATCATCCAATCCAACCGTCTACTCATCACCATTGCCACCACTAGTACTAAAGCATATCACGCAGCACGTCATCCAGACACCTCTTGAACAGTTCCAGGGACGGCGACTCCACCACCTCCCTGGGCAGCCATTCCAGTGCCTGACCACTCTATGAGAGAAGAAGTTCTTCCTTATGTCTAACCTAAACCTCCTCTGATACAACTTGTGGCCATTGCCCTTGTATTTTGGCCGCTGTCACCTTAGATATAGACATTGATCAGATCCCCTCTGAATTATCTTTTCTCAAGGCTGAACAGACCCAGGTCATACAATCACAGAATCACAGAATCACCAAGGTTGTAAAAGACCTAAAAGGTCACCCAGTCCAACTGTTCACCTATTACCCATAGCTCCCACTACACCATGTCCCTCAACACAACATCAAGTCGCTCAGCCTTTCCTCATGAGAGAGGTGCTCCAGGCCCTTGATCATCTTCATGGCCCTCCGCTGGACTCTTTCCAGGAGATCGCGGCCTTTTCTTGTACCGGGGAGCCCAGAACCGGACGCCATAGTCCTGGTGAGGCCTGACCAGGGCAGAGTGGAGGGAGACGATCACCTCCCTTGACCTGCTGGCCACGCTCCTTGTAATGCCCTGTAGGATCCCAGTGGCCTTCTTGGCCACCAGGGCACCCTGCTGGCTCATGGCCAGCCTGTTGTCCACCTGGAGCCCCAGGTTCCTCACCGCAGAGCTCCTCTCCAGCAGGTCGGGTCCCATCCTGTACTGATACTTGCAACTATGCCTTTTAGATCCTCCTTCGTTATCAGCAGCTAAGTGGGAGGGGAGAGACATAGTAGACAGATGGGAGCTGAGCTGATGGGAGGGTGATGGTACCACTGTATCCTGTTGGTCTGATGCCAAGCTGTCATTCAGTGGAGGACTCTCTCCTCTTCAAATGAAGACAATTCAAGCAGAGGGGCTTACAAGCATAGAAATTCTTATTATGGGCCCCTTACTGAGTCAATGTAGCTGTTTGTCCCTGTGGATTACTTTGCAGTTAATTTTGGTCATATGACTTTTTTTTTCTTTTAATACATAAGATTCTCTTAATCTGTTTGTATTACATTAAGTATTACAAGAGAAAAAGAAAGTAAAGAAAGATAAATCTCATAAGATTGAATTCTTCTTATTAGTCTTAGAAGAAAAATATCTACTGCATCATGTTCATCTAAGCCCTTATTATTATCTGCCATTTTTTCCATCCCTGCACCTATTTTGGGTAATCTTTTGTGTGTTTATTCTCTCTGTTTAATCAGTCCACACATATTCAATAGAGTCACACATAGGTTCACACATATTCAATAGATTAAATTCAGCAACAATTATTCCCAGTGTCATTTCTAATATGTTCCCAGATTCCATCTCAAGAATTGTCTTAAATTCATTGAATAATAATGAAAATGAGAAACTTCTTCCTCAGTTGTTTCTCCCAAAGGATCTCTCTGAATAATGTAAAGTCATGGGCACACAACATTTCTTCAGAGATTTAAAAATGCCCTGTTTTCACATTAACAGAAATGACTTGAACATTTTTCAGCAATGACAATATTGTCTTGTAATAATATCTGCTAAAGGATAAGATGGCCAAATTCTTGGATGGTATAAACTGCATCGCTCAGCCAAAGTTTTAGTATTATGATCACCTATGCTTCTCTCATAAACTATTTTTTTTGATACTGCACATTTTATTATTACTCGGTGTCGGTGATTGAAGTGATGGTCAGAAAATATGCAGCATATGGTGAATGGATGCAAATTAACTATAGCCAAAATAATCTCTTGCAGAGCAGACTTACATTTACCTTTTGGGTACTGTGGCTACTTGAAAAAAGAAGTGAGTGTGCATCAATGTTCATACACTGCTATGAAGTTGAAGTTCAGGAATTAGGCAATTTTAAAAGCAAATCCTTTAAAGATCTGAAAAGCTACTTGTTGACTGCCAAATAGATCACTGTAGCACAGATTCCTTGCATGCAAACTATCTGACAAAAACATGATATTTCTCTTAAGATGGCAGCAAACCCAAAACAGATAATGACATTGACTCATTCACAGGATGCAATGAGTAAAAATGTTCTTGCAAAGACAATACAAAGAAATGTACTGGTGACAAACAAAGAGCACAGTTGTGTGGAGGCAGTCTGAGATGTGAGAGCTCCGGTTTTGCCTCCTCGCCCCACGACATCAGACATACTGACAAGCTGCTGTGTAAGCATCAGGCTGATAGTTTCCCATCAGGCTTTATTTTCCCAAGGGACATGAGTCAGCTCTGTCTCTACATGCCTTGGAGGCCTCATTAGAGCCATCCAGGTCCTGCACATGGACAAACTGGAATCCTTCTTTGCCCTTGGGCATCTCAAGCTTGCCTTTGAGCAAGAGAAGAGGAGCTGAAATGCAAGGATGGGAAATGGTGGGCTAATTAGAAATACAGTAGGAAACAGGTGCTCCTACATGCCCACCCAAGGCACTGTGCACATGTAGAGGAATCTCTGCAGCTGAGAGGGAGGAGGTGTGGGATCAGCATCTGAAATTCAGTGGGGCAGTCTGGACCCTCACCAGAAAGGCTTTATGTTGTACATAGCTAGTGGTTCTGAAGGTAAATTAAGTCTGTATCTTCACTATTAGCATAGCTTATTAGCAACTCTCTTTGCCTCAGTTTCTGATTTGCACAAAAGGGGCAGCACTGCTTCTCTTTCTCACCACATGGCATGAAGGACTCTGCTACCCAGGCAAGAGACACCATGCAAGTACATCAGGTGAGAAAGTGCAAATATCGTAGAAGCCATGGGATGAATGTGAAAATATAGCTAGGAGACCAGAGTCTGTTACAGGGAAACTTTTTACATTTAACTTGGGGCTCTAAGATTTCTGCAGAAAGTTTTGTATAAGATGAAAGCTGTGATTAGGGGGGTCTTCCAATATTTAACCCCCAGATACTGCTTTATTTTTACACATATATGTCTTCTGTTAAATTAAGCTCAGTGCATCTAGACATATGGCAATGCGATCTGTACAATTATACTGATAAGGTCACATACTTAACTGGCAAGAACTGGCAACAGCGTTACTAACTTCAAAGAAGTTGTGTCAATCTTACCAGTGAGAGAAAAGCACTCTCATTAACACAGAGGGAAGGGAGAAAGTGATGGGAGAATAATTTCACAAGAAATAATTAACTTTGGTTATAACAGAGTAACTCTAATGGAGACAGAGAGTCAGAGAGGGAAGAAGAAAAATAACATTAATATGCTATTAACCTTAGCTGTGGTCAGACCAGTTCAGCTGTATTGTAAGGTGATGAAGCTTTGCAAGTTTATTAGGTGCTGATGCAACCTCCTATGTGATGGAAGACAAAGAAAAATTAACACTGCAATTACTGACATCATAATGGCTTATGCAAACACACCTGTCTTTACAGTTGCCCCCTCTCTTCTTCCCATTTCCAAACTATTTTTTTTCAATATTCACATACACCATAGGTCAATCTCATTTCCTCAGGTTGGAAATGTCTCCACCTCTGTTTTTTAAGAGCTGAAGATGGCTGTTACCCTCAGAGCAAATATTGGCTGCAGGCTGTACTTCTAACTTCCAGACCATAAAGAGATAGAATGCTCATACAATAATGTGAAGATACACCACTGAAGCCAGGAAAAGTGCCTGACCTGAGATGACAATATGAGCATACTCACAGTAATGAAGGAAAAGATAAAAATGTTGATCCTAGCAATATCTGCTGTGATATGTCTGCTAGTGATATCCGTTCTGATCCCAGCACGTCCACTTTGTCCAAAATGATCGGCACCATCAGTACCTTTGACTGCTAGGCAACAGCAACATGCAAGTTACTTGATTCATTAAAAAGCAGTAGCAAATCAAAAGAAACCAGAAGTCATTACCCCCCCACCCGAAGTCTTCCCCTCACCTGGCCTAACATCACAGCTTTACTTTCCTCCCTGGAAGCTCCTGGCACACCCACAGGGTTCTACATGAACATCACATTCTCAGGCTCCATGTCTCAGCATTCATAACTCACAAACCTAATTTCCCTTGCCAGAGTTCAGGCTTGGGCCACAACCAATTACTGTAACATAAGGGCATTCACTGCTATTA